CAGCTGCCTGCAGCATCGTCATGTTCGCAGCCATGTTTGCTGAAGACATCACGCACGAACCAATGCACGCGCAGATTCCGAGAGACTCGTAAGAGCGCCTGGTGCACTGCATTGTGGGTGGATCTATCCCCTCGCATTTGTAAACTCGCTGCCCGCGCGCTCCGCTGAGTGTGAGGACAGGCGCGCCGTCAGCTACGACGGCCGCCATTGCGCCTCCCGCCGCAGCTAGACAGCACACGAAAGGCGTATACAAGGTGTTTGCGGTGCGCCGAAACGTGCAGAATAAACGCGCGCTGTGAGGTTTTTCTTTTTCTTTTCTGTTTGTACCTTGGCCAGCTTTAGTGCTGTTGTTACCTAATTGTTAATTAAGTTACGATGTACTTCATCTAAACTGACAGCCTGTACATCTGTTGTGCACTATAGGCTGACGTATAGATTTCGTTATTGTTACAACGAATCCTCTTCCTTCGGCCGCAAACGAGAGTTCCGGCAAGTATAAACACTTATTTATTCGCCTTGTAAACTCTGCATTCCAATTCCGCAAATAATTGTTTAAAGCAGTCATATGCGTGCCAGAAGCAGCAGTAGATATATCGCAAAACGCGAATTTTAGTGTTGCGAAGCTACCAAAGCGTGGTTATGACGGCTTCTTTTGCTACGTTTATGCTTTGCTTGTTCATTATAAATTGCGTTATACGCATTGTACACATGATGAAGTGCCGAGGGGCAGCAATCAGATTTAGATCCTTCGTTTTTCTCGAATTACACCTAGAAAGGTACAGAAGCTAAAAATATAACAATACCTGACAAAAGGCCTCTGTACCGGTAATTTATAAATAATAAGCAATAATGCAGCATATTGTTCGCAACATACAAAAAAAGATTACATCTAGGATCTAAAAATGCACAAAAAGCTTGATAAGTTCATAGCTCAAAAAGAATTTGAAAGAATACCTAGGGATATAACTAGAAAAAGTTCATTTGCAGAGAAGTAACAAAGAATATGTAACACGAGAGAATACATGCTGAGTACACTTTGTTTAACAAAACATTTGTGTCAAATATAGAGAAATATAGTAAAGAAATAAAATAAGTAACAAAAACAGGTAATAATAAAGCAAAAACGTAAGAGCACAGGTGCTTCTAAACAAATCCACGGCAGGTCTTTATCCACAAGAAAAAATTCATATATCCAGCTAAAATGAAATAAGAGCTTTCATACCATTATTATGCTTGCTCAAAGAGTTGAAATTGCATGACACACGAGAATTAGCGTACAGGTTATTTATTTGTATGCATAAATGCTATGCTGACAGAGGCAATTATGCAAATGAAGCATTCCATGACAGAATTTTCTCAGGACTGTCACTTGTTGCTTCACAATGATTGTGCACGAGTTAAAAAAAAAACGACCTAAGTAATAAGTTAAGACTTGACAGGAAGGCAACCTTTAAACACAAAAACAGTGCAGGATAACAACAAGTATTTAACAACTGCAAACGTATATATATTGGCATAAGATCAGCACAGAACGCATACTTTTCAGTTAATTTGGGGCATACAGCTGATCTTAGTGTGTCGATGTCTTACGAGAGGGTGACGCCGGCGCAAGTTTTCCTGGAATTCCCATTCAAACTATCGGCTGGCAACTGTCGAAGGTGGATGCGCAGCCTTATTCGTGCGTACATCTCAGTGAGCATTCTGTATATACCCTCCTTGTGCTCCGTGCATACACACAGGCGGTGGTGGTGTGCCTTGCTTAGGTATGCTGTAAGTGATCGAAGCGGCGACTTCATCATGATTATTTTATCCGTGCACATGGTCGTAAAGTGCTCTTCATAGTCTTTCAGGGCTTTCATCACTCCACTGCTCGGATATATAAGTTTTGTTTCTAACGGTTTCGACCAGTGGACCGGTCTTCGCAAAAATGGAAACCGTTGGAAATAAAACTAAGACAACTGCTAAGTGTTTTGTCTCTTCTCTTCCCAAGTACGTTTGGCCCATTGGTACTGCTTGGAGAAACTTCTTCAGTATATATATCTATATATATATATATATATATATATATATATATATATATATATATATAAATATATATATATATATATATATATATATATATATATATATATATATATATATATATATATATATTGTTATGAAGAGGAATGCCCACTACTAAAGCGACATCGACACGTTGGCGCGAGGCACGAGCTAAGACTGCCTGGTTGCTGCTGCGACGCTGCCCGTACACCCGGCTCGCTCTTGCTGCTTCTGCGCCGACGCTGCTACCGCTTTTGAGCTTGCATTTACATTATAATATATATATATATATATATATATATATATATATATATATATATATATGTGTGTGTGTGTGTGTGTGTGTGCGTGTGTGTGTGTGTGTGTAGAGCAGTATGCTGCCATAATGAACCATGCGAACAACAACAAAGTGCGAACTTAGTTGATCGCCATAATGACATAGTCAATTTGTATACTTCTACCCCTCACGGTGGTCTAGTGGCTAACGCACTCAGTGGTGACCCGCAGGTCGCGGTATCGAATCCCGGCTACGGCCACCGCGTTTACAATGGAGGCGAAAATGTTCGAGGCCCGTGTACACATATTTTGCGGCGCGATTAATAACCCCGTTGGTCGAAATTTCCGGTGCCATCTACTACGGTGTCTCTCATAATTATATGGTGCTTTTAATATGCCAAATCCCAACAACTGTAATTAATATATTTTGTATACTTCTCGCACTGCACAATCCGTCCGGCGACATGCCTCTATGTGAAATTCATTCTGCTGAGGCCGACAGGCTCTCACTATATCGGTGGTTTTTTACCGCTGTTGTGTTACTCGAGAGCTAGTTACCAACTCAGCTCTCCTCAACATGAATGAACTGGTCGAGTGAAATAAACTGGGTTCAGATGTCAATTAGGTGTCCGAAGGAATCATACACTCTGTCATGTACTTTAAGAGACATGGAGGAGTTCCAGAGATTCCGAGCCTTCTATAGGGACACGGGTGCATGCATTCGCAGTCGATGTAAGAGCCGCCAAATTTGTGGTGCGGAATTATCGAGTGAGTTACGCGACAGGTCCGCGTTCTTAAAAAGGAAAAGAGATACCCTTGAAAAAATGTTATTCAGAGGCGGAATTCTGTGTTTTTTCTAGGAACACAAAGTTCGCGCTAATGTGTTAAGATGGCGTAGAACTTAGATGATTTTCAGCTCTCATGTAGATAACTATTACTCAGTTCATTACGAACATATTTGCTGATAGGAAAGGCATATATTTCAATATCCGCGTTCTTCACCCTCACGATCACTATCAGTTATGTGCAGTCTGTTTCACACTTTAGGGAAATCTCGGAGCGCATGGCATCGCGGTGTGATTCCCGCTGAAGTCGCGCGCCGTGCGCAAATCACACATGCCCAGACCGCGCAGAAGCGTGGTGTTCAACCGAATCCTCTGCGGCAGTGGTGCGTGCCGGGCACATTGTCGGGCAACCTGCTGATTTCTTCGTTGCAGAGGGAAGTTGACCGTTATTCTGTACTAAACATTGTGCGATGCCAACCAATCAGTCTAAGAAACAGTATTTTGTTCGTGAACCGCAGTACGCTGTGACGAAGAGCACCATAATGAGCACGTGTCATGCGTGATATTTATTTCACGGTGATGAAAAACGCAGCACTCTACGTCAAATTCCGTGCTGCTATGAAGGTTCGACGCAGGAAAAAAAGAAGAACGTGTTCAGGAATGCTGTAGGACAAAATAACGACCTGAACGCGTTTCTTCTCACTCGCTAGCACCGAAATGCAAACGCGAAGCTTCCAAGTTTACTTGATACCTCGTGTGTTAGCGATGACGGCACTCATATTGGACGGTATAGTGAGGCGTACAGTAAGTAACACAATGAGTGATAGCGGCCCAGTTGCCTCAGAAACGATGAAATTAGTTCGCTGCCTGACAATGCGGTCAGCGCACGCCGCCGAAGCCGAAAACGTGGTTCGACTGAAGTGAAGTGGTTATAAAATGGAAAAGAAGAGAAAAGGTAAGCCAATTAACTGCATCAGGGCGTGATACCTCAACAGTAGCTCACAGGGGATGTGGGTGAGGAGAGATTAAAAGGATAGAAATAAAGGTAGAGAGAGAGAGATGCGCTGAGACAGGGAGCGAGGACATATCTAGGGGATAGAAGAGATTGGAAAGATGGAAACACGGTCACAGGAGTCCGAGGACGGGGCACCACTTGCGAGAGCTCTTGTCGGCGTCAAGAGATGCGTAGGGCAAGTCCAGCAGGTCAGAGCTGCGCTGTCGTCCGAGATCGGCGTCAGGAGATGACGTAGGGCCAGCCCAGTCGGCCAGAGCTACGTTGACGTCGAAGATCGCGAGGGCACAACCGGTTTGCGGAATCCAGCGGTCGAGTAGTGGTTCAACCGGTTCACTCGTTCAGCCCTACGTGCCGCAAAAGTTTGCGCACATGCCAGCTTCTGCCACTGCTCGACTGCCTCAGTGGCCGCATCACGGCCGCACCGTGATGCCACGTGCTACGACATTTCCCCTAAGTGCGAAAGACTGTACGCTCGTGGACGCAGACGTGCACCGCATAACCGAGTTAAATCACCGAGTTACGAAAAGCCTTGCAATGCTATTGGGACTACTCCCAAAGGAACTGTGACAATTCATTGATACCCAGGGCTGATACGTGCCTATAATTGCATATAACTACAACTGGTGACTGCGTTGGCTTTACGAACACAGTTTTACTCGCGTCCCTGCCTATTGAGCCATTCGAATCATTGTCCTCTTTCTAGAGGAGGCAAGACTGCAGTCGTTACTACTATACGTACTGCACGCGACCGACAACAACTGTTTTCCACTACGACCCGGAAGAGCTGACGTGCGTCCCCACCACGGCGCTTGGCACCCAGCTTTGCAACCGTGGAACTAACCGGTTTAGTAGCTGGCAGCGCTGCCGTGCGGGTTGCCTGCAGCCCGACCGTGTCTCGGATATGTGCTTCGAGAACGCGCTCTTCATGCCCTGTTCCAAGTGAGTACGGCCCTGAAGTGACGCTGCATTTCCACTTTGATAGAACTCTCTATAGACCCTAATATACTATAATCCATCTGAAGGGTAAAATTTTTCGTAGAAATATTCTATGGTAGCCGCAAAGTGAAACTGTTCAATCGTAACTGTTTCTGAATGTCTTCTCAAATTCCGGCCATGCTTAGAGTATCATCAATTCGCTTATGTAAATTACCGGATGCGCAAGTGCCCTTTTAAGCAAAACTTGCTTTCTTAATTAGTTTTCTGTAAGTGTTTATAAATTAACATAGCAGTGGCAAAAGAAGAGGGATAGATTGAGAATGGCCACCCCACTCCTAGCGCCAAAACTCGGATCACACCAAGACAAATGTTCCTGTAGAACAGATCACGCATCGGAAGTTCTTTAGGCGCACACCTCGCAAACCGGTTGCGGAAACACTCTTTGCTTCCCGTGTGCGTTTCCATAGCAACGTGGCCATTTCGGGAAGTTGCGGATTTATTGATACTTCACATAGCATGTCATTTCATAATTTTTCGGCATTGCCTTAAAAGCCAACTCCGGTAAACTCAATGGATCTTGATGAAACTCACTGGGTACGTTCGTTCGCACGTTTTCGCCAATCACGCCGCATCACAGGCTTGAGAGTTACGCAGATTTTTTTGAAATGCATTTTATAGTTTGCCTCTAAACGCTCAACTCGCTTGTCAGAATTACTGATGGCAACAATGAGTGTGGGACGTTGATTTTAAATGCAAAGCAATTCTTTCTATCTATCTATCTATCTATCTATCTATCTATCTATCTATCTATCTATCTATCTATCTATCTATCTATCTATCTATCTATCAATTTATCTATCTGTCTAGCCGCCTATGACTTGTTGCTGTCCTGGCCGTTTCGATAATGATATTGGTAGCGAAATTGGTATGGCATAACATGACTGTATGACGAGCATAAGCGACCAGTCATAATGAAAATTTTGAACTGTATGTCATAAATGTCATGATTCGTGGCCGAATTTTTAGGCACTAAAAAGTGTGTTTCAGACACCAATGACAGGCAAGTAAAAGACAATTTTAGGCCCTCAAAATCATTCTCATAGGCACCATAAATTTCACTTAATTCAAATATCCCAAAAAAACGATGTCGGTAACTTGTATATACAGCAAGAAGCAGAAAAATAGATGATAATTAGGATAGAAGTAAAGTACCAAGGATATAACATAGGCAAGAATTTCCCACGCGAATCGCAGTATGGGGTCTTTCGTTTTAGTGTCTAGCATTCTGCGTCAAGTGTCCATCATTCAAATAACACTCTCATGGGTCTCTTTTGTTTTGTTGTGGCTGGGAAAGGCAGCGCAGGAGCAAATAACCAGACCACTTGTACCCAGAAGAGAGGCATGCTAAGTCTAATCGCGTAGGACCAATTTCTCTCTTATCGGTGAACACCTAAAAGACCCCCCACCAAGTTTGGGCATTTCGAGCTTACAAGCGTAATGGTGCACTGCATGGGCACTCCCCATCATTCCTGTTAAGATTTGCAAGATTACATGTCACGGAAAAACGCTGATATTTCTAATGAATGCCGCTTGTGCTTCTCACGAGCATGCGCCCCAAGATCTAGGGAATGACGTGCAGCAGGGAATGGTCCTGTTTTTACGTCGCTCCTTTACGTTGACATTGGTGAGCTGACGTCGCATACTGTACGCTCTTCATCAGAACTTCGTTAAAAGCTATCAGTATCTATAAAAAGAGACGAAAAATGTTCCGTCTCCTGATTATATCCTTCATTTTAAACGGTACCTCGTTAAGAGCGTTGCACTAGACATTATTCTACTTGGCGTGTGCAATTTGTGCGTTTTGTTGTGTAGCATGAATGAGGAGCATTTTGGTTAGGGTAACTGTTTCACATTGCTTGAAAGGGTAGTGCAAAGACAAAGAGAAAATAATGACAGCGCTCTTTGTGGCTATGTCTTTCTTTTTTCTGTCTTTGTCCTGCCCTTTCAAAATCAGTATAATGAATAAATGCTGAGCTTGTTTATCGTCTCCCTCCGTGGACCAGTAGCTATGGGGTGCTCCGCTGCTGACCCGAAATCCGCGGTTTCGATTGTGGCCATGGCGGTTACGTCTAGATGGATGCGAAAAAGTAAATGCCCGTGTATTGTGGAATGTAAGTGCAGGTTAAAGAACACAAGCTGGTCAAAATTTGCGGAGACCTCCACTACGGCGTCCTTCATGTTTATATCGTGATTTTTTTCGTAAAATCACACATGCTGCTGCTACTACTACTACTACTACTACTACTACTACTACTACTACTACTACTACTACTACTACTACCAGTACTCATTTCGTTCACGTTCGTCTTCTCGTTGTTGCTGCATCGTGCCTTCGCCAACCCTGACAACGCTTAGCTTGTGTTCGGTGCGTCGTCTCTGACCACAGTTTCAGCGAAGCGACGTGGCGTATCGTGGTCACAATACATCATCCTGGCCAGCCTCTACAAAATTACGCGCACTGAGTGATTCATCCCTCATAAACGAGTAATACACGACAGAAAACGCCGAAACGACACAACATCGATGGTGCACATGCACGAGTAGGCTGGGGCACGGCATTCGTGCATGACCTTGCTTACGCATGATGTGCGTGGTGCATATGCCTCATGTGATTTTCCAGCCCACATACCGAAAAAAACAAGGAAGGAATACGGCTCATGATGACTACATGGGGCGAGAGGCAGAGAATTCAAGCTTGCCTCTTCGCATCATGCTGCAGAGGCCCGTAGCAGAATCAATTTGTAAAATGACCATGGTACAACGCTTTTCATTAGGCACGCAAGAACTTCTTGTTTCTAACAACAACTTATTATGTCACCTAGAGAGAGAAGCTTGAAAAGTAAATTACAAACAAAACGAAATCCGCCTGGACATCAAATTTTTTACCTGAAGACGCTGTAGCAGATGTGTTACAATGTCAAAGAAAACACGCCTTCATTGACACAACACAGAATATTCTCTTTATAGGCCAATTCATTCTGTCATAAAAATAACAAAAAAAGAATTATTAGAAAAGTTATATCTGATACGACATTCTAAAATCTTAATTACCATCACGTACACGACTGTGTAGGTACATTCAGTTTCCAGTGTGAGTGTAGCATGAAATGCTTAACATAGGAGCTTTAACTGCAGTTTAGTTCAACGCGATGATAGTAGTTTCCGTCCAAGTTAAATTTTTATATTGTTGCAGCTCTCATTTTGAGTAATGGCTTAGGGCAAATATTGAAGCACTGTTCTGTATGTTTTCTAATTTGTCACTTAAAGACAAATGGCAAGGGCTCTCATACGTAACAAGCATATTCAGGCATATGGTGAATGTATGCTACATACACCATTGATTGTAAACCTGCCATCGCCTGTCTCTGGCTTCTCTGTATAAAGTATAACGATCTTGCGACCTTCGCCACCACTGAATCAACAAGAGCAATACATGAGTGGTCCTCCATGGTTTTTCATTCGTTCTTCAGCTACCCACGGCTGCCTAGAAAAACCTGCTCTTCCTTTCCCACTGCAACACCCAGGTTTTCAGAGGGGTTCTTCAGTTCATTCAGGACACTGGACAACTGTTTGTAGAAGATGGTTGCCACATCCTCGGCCATAGATGTCACCTTTATTTTCTTACACTATCTTTAATGCTCTCTCGTCCTTCCCCTGCAGACGCTGAGACATTCTTCCACTGAGGGTTGCTGAAATAGCATCTTTTGCACTCCTCAAGCTCCTCCTCCGATCACTCGTAGCATGTCAGCTTTGTCTTCGTTGAACCTTATAGTGTTTGGAAATATCAATGCTGGTTTTTTTACATGAATAACGGTTTCACACCATGCTCGAAAACAAAGTTTGAGCTTGAATAGTGCTCATATATGCGCTCATTTGGAAAATAGGCATTTATAGGCACTCATAGCATTTAGGCAAGAACACTCTAAATAAGCATTTATAGGCAGTATAAAAACACCATAAAAGCCCGCCTCAATCACCAATTCATGCACATACGTCAAAAGGGCACGATTGGAACACAAGGAACGAAGTAGGCGTGTGCCTCTAATCTGGTCTCTAGTCGATTTACTTTTCACGGTTTTGCCACTCTTGCGGTGGTTTGGTTTACATCATCATCATCATCATCATCATCATCATCATCATTATCATCATCATCCTGACCACGTCCACTGCAGGACAAAGGTATCTCACATAATCTGCCAGTTAACCTGGCCCTGTGCTGGCTGCTACCAATTTTTACCCGCAAACTTCTTAATCTCATCTGCCCACCTAACCTTCTGTCTCCCCCTAACCCGCTTGCCTTCCCGGGCAATCCAGTTAGTCACCCTTGATGACCAGCGGTTATCCTATCTACGTGCTACATGCCCGACCCATGTCCATTTCTTCTTTTTGATTTCAACTATGATTTCTTAACCTCCGTTTGTTCCCTAATCCACTCTGCTCTCTTCTTGTCTCTTAAGGTTTCACCTACAATTTTTATTTCTATTGCTCGCTGCGTCGTCCTCAATTTAAGCTGAACCCTCTTTGTAAGTCTCCAAGTTTCTGCTCCATAGCTAAGTACCGGCAAGATACAGCTGTTATATACCTTCTTCTTGAGGGATAGTGGCAATCTACCTCTCATAACTTGAGAGTGCTTGCCAAATGTGCTCCACCCCATTCTTATTCTTCTAGTTACTTCAATCCCGTGGTTCGGCTCCGCGGTTATTACCTGCCCTAAGCAAACATAGTCGCTTACAATTTGAAGTGCACTATTGCCTATCTGGACGCGCTCCTCTCTTCCGAGGTTGTTGTACATAACTTTCGTTTTCTGCTGATTATTTTAAGACCCACCTTTCTGCTCTCCTCGTCTAACTCCGTAATTATGAGTTGCAATTCGTCCCCTGAGTTACTCAGCATAACCTGTTGGTTCACATAACCTGTTGCAAAACTGGTATAGTATTACATAA